TATCATAATATCCCTCACCTCCTACCTAATAATATCCCTCACCACCCCCCTACCTAATAATATCCCTCAACCCTCTACCTAATAATATCCCTTATCCCCTACCTAATAATATCCCTCGCCTCATGTCTAAAAAGTGTAGTTTGGAGGGATGATACTGTGGTGGTGGTGTGGGTATTACCATACAGAGGGAGCACCTCCTGAAAAATTAAAACTTTAAATTCACTCTTGACGTAATTTTAATATAATTTTAATATTTTAGGAACACCTAACAATAATAATAATAATAATAGACATTAAATAATCAACTGTCATTCATCTCTTTTAAAATATAGATGTACGGAATTAATGATATCTAAGACCCAAGGAGCCAGGCATAAGACAAAAGACAACATTATGCGGCTCAGAGGAATTGTTTTCTTATGCATTGACTGAATGATTTGAGGTCAAAGTGAACTACAACTATAATATTTCTGGAGGCTCATAAGTGGTTAATCTTATTTTTTATCATCTGAAAAAATATATAAAACTCTTGTATTTATGATTGTTTTCTCGTCTACCTCTTTTAGGTAATCTTCAATAAAAGTCAAACTTTTCCCTAGAAACAGCAAAATATTTAAAATTTATCAAAATAAAATAAAAATCATGAGAAAAGGTCGGATTTTCTTCTTAACAGAAATTTCAACTTGTCGAGTTGAATTTCCGATTCACAACAGTACCCTTTCAACATCATTTATTCATAAAAATATTATTATTTACATTCTAGAATTGACAGAAAATAAATATTTACATTCGTTTGATTAACACCGCGTTGAACGTTAAGTATGCGAGATATTCAGGAAGATTGTTCGAGGGTAAAAAATTTCAGTTTCTTAAAGTCATACAACCCTAACAAAAATATGAAAAAATCATCAAAATTGATTTCGTCAATTTAACGACTAATAATGGTTGATTTGTAATTCGTAATAAAATTACATACGCAGTTCCTTCAAAAAAAATATTTTTTAAAGTATATTTTTTGCTCGTTCCCTGAAGCTGTGTAATCGCATTCTACGATCTTTCTTCTTCCGAAGGGACTGATGAAAGTTGCATCCTTTCCTAAACTCGAAATAAGAATATTTAAGTACATTCACCCCATTATTATTAAAGCACTTCTTGATAATAACTTTATATGGCTGAATTACTATATGCAGAAGAGGAGGGGGTATTGGTTCTCAGTCAAATAAGGATCAATATAGTCAATAATTTGAAGGGGTTATAAAGTTCAGGGGGGTGGTGCGCCCCCCCCCCCCCCCCCGAAAGAAGAAATCCCCCCGGGACTTGTTTCTGAATTCCACTGTTGTAAAAAATTCATTGTGAATCATTCTAAATAAATATTTCAAAAATTTGAATTGTTTTTGTAAAATTTCAAATACCTTTTATATTGTGATAATTTTATTTCTCGATTATTAAAGCCGTTGTCATAAATATTCATGAAGACGAGTTTCGATTTCGATTTTTGATTTCTACCAAACTTTGCAAGCAGTGAGAAGGATAAACATAAACATGAAAACAAAGAGTAGCTGTCACTTAAAAGCTTCTCTTTGATTTTTTGAAAATTTTGAAAAAATTTTGAAAGCTTGTAAGAAAACAAAACTTAAATAAAAAGTCGCCTTCATTGTATTGATACAAAAGCCGACAACTGTATGCTAATTCAAAGTCCAAATTTTATGTTTAACGAGCATTGTTCCTACGTAGACCTGGTTAAACCACTTCTCTTAAACTTTAACCGGCACACAAGATTCAAGTAATTCAATTCAATTCTCGTTATTCATTAATTGTGGTCCCAGTTAATATAATTTGAGTTTCCTATGATATTTGAATTTATATATTCAGCTAGTTCTTGTTTTTTCTTCAGCTCGACAACCTAATAATCAAATAATCAACAATACTAAATACAATGGGACACAAAAAACTGCAGAATATGCAAATTATATTAAAGCAATCTTATGTATATCTGATGATGTTATAAAGCAAATAGTTGTAATAACAGCTTGAAAATCTACTTCTCAAGTAATATGTACTGTACATACAGTGCGGTAGGCAGTCTGTACATTGTACAGTACATTACAGATCTGTACAATGTGTTTTGCACAATTCCTGTGTTTCATCTTCATGGACCATTTAAAGCTTGAGTTTAAAAGAGATAAAAGGAACGGTTCTATTGTATTTTTATACATATGGTTTATTAGCGACTTAAAGGTAGAAAATTATCAGGGTTAATGTATACCAAATATCGTGTAAACATGATATTCTGTAAACCTGCAGTACGTTGTGCATTATTAACAAGTTATGTTGTAGACCTATACATAATGACATTATTCATTGAAACTGCCTTTCCATTGAAAACGTAGAATGTTGAGATAGCTTAACTGCGCTATATCTATTCTCGCTAATCTTATAAATACGTACATTAAACTTTAACTGTGCGGTAAATACGTAATATGATTGTCTTAATAAATTTGCATATGTCCCTGTGTGGCATTTAGAGCCTTGAACTGAAAGCTTGTTGGATAGCTACGCTTATGTCCCTATGTGGCATTTAGAGTCAGGTGGGTTTTGTGCTGATTGAACTGAAAGCTTGCTGGAAAGCTACGCTTATATCCCTATGTGGCATTCAGCTTGTTGGATAGCCACGCTTGTGTCCATGTGTGGCATTTAGAGCCAGGTTGGTTGTGTCCTGGTTGACTCCGATAGCGGAAGGGTTGTGCCTGGATACTGGATAGATATGTATCGAGAACTTGTTATGGAGTAAGTGTTTACTACAAATGGAGCATGGAGCATACTTTCTAAAAAAACCTAATCGATTTTAAAGCAAAAAGTGATTCAGTTTTATCTAACAATTGAAAAAATTTAAAATTAAAACAAATTTTATGAATATCAAGTTCAAACAAACCAAAAGCTATATGTGGCTTTTGATCACAATTAAAAATATATTGGTGGCTTTTTTTCTTTCATTATTTTATTTTTATTATCTAGCGTTGAAAAAAAAATTAATTACACAACTCAGTAGATTTTAGGATGATTCCAACTAGAAAACTAAACTGGATTGAATTCAAATTGACAAAACAGAACGCATTTCTCTCTGGTTAGTCCAGGGGGTAGGAAGCAAAATTTTAGAAATGATTACGCGCATTCTAGGTCGTGGAGTTCCTTGACTCCTACCGAGCATATTGACCTGTACGCTGCAGGAAGAGCCTACCCTCACGGTAATTTAACCATTTCAAAGCCATGTTAAACATTAAAATCAATTTTAAATCGCTTAAAATTATTAGTTTACATACATATATTAGTGCACATTTAGTTCTAAAAACACAAAAATCGCATCCTTACAAATATCGTCTTCATTCTTGGAAATTATCAAAAAAATCATGATTTCTTCAATTTTTAATGCGAATGCCTGATAAAAATAAATTATAAAATATCGATCAACATAGCTATTTTTGTCAAAAATTGCGTTGAAATGGTGTAGACAGTAGTGGGTACTGGGCAGGCTCTTACGGAGTCGCTGTGCATTATACTGACCTGCACGCGGCTGCTCTGAACCGGAAGTTCATAAAACCTCCGGTCCCCTGATTCTTCCGTTGTTAAATTCATCTCTAAATTCAAATCGTCTCAATTTTTCATTTTTATCTGCAATCAAATATAGGTTTTAAATTTATTATAAAAGACAAACATATTTAATTTATTTCAACTGAAGTTCCATATCAAATTTTTGTTTATCATGTTTGCATCAGATTACAGCATATACAAGAATGCATTATAAATTTGTAAATTAGACATTTTTTATTTTAATACGCTGTTTTATATTCAAGCCGAAAGTGAAGTCTTAGCTATGGACACGGCTTTGTTATTATTTTTACCATTAATAAATAATAAAAATAATAATAATAATAATAGTATTGAAACCTGTTACTACAGCTGAACAGATACATCTAAATTAAGGTTCTTTTGTAATTTGTAGAATAGAGTCTTTTTAACTACATAGAGCCGCCACATTTAAATTGATCTACCCGTGTAGTGTTGAGCCTCTAGAGCTACAATGAGGGGCTATATTTAGATTAAGTCTGTTAAAAAACAATTGAGCCTTTTTAACTATACTGAGCCGATGTAATTACACTGAGCCGCCATATTTTTGAGCCTCTGATGTAGAGTTGAGCCTCTGTATATGAATATCCTCCAGTAATAATAATAATAATAATAATCGCTGTCAGTGTCAAACCTTCAATCTAGGTTGTAGGCTTGAGCTCCCCTTCGTTTAAGTTCCAATGAAGCAACCCAGTGTGATCTACATTATTCTGTATACGGGGTGAAGAGCTGTTTATTACAATACATGTTCTAAAAAATTATCAAAATTGGTGTTAGGTCATTTCCCCAGCACATCTTCCCCAACACAATTTCCCCAGTCACAACTTCCCCAACAGCAATTTCCCCGGCGCTAATTTCCCCAACACTATCTTCCCAGTCACTAATTACCCCAACAGCAATTTCCCCATGCTGTAAAATCCTATCCGGCAGATTGATGAATTCTTGTACTGACTTAAGAAATTTTGGTCTCTCAACAGCAACCAGAGAAGCACTTCTGTTCATTTCTGGCTAAGTTTGCCACAACCGACCTGCTGGAATATCAGGGTTGGCCACAGCATTGCTAATATGCTGTTTTTCAATGGCGTAAGCTCCACACTTTGCAATTGCATGGTGTATATTATAATTATGGTTGTAGGAAAGTGATATTGATGAAGTTACCAGTTTCAGAATGATTTAGTTTTGTTCCTTGACATTGATTGTAGGTTATACTTATTGGGATCCACCAGAACATTGCTCTACTTCGTGGCATTGTATAAACTGCTAGCATGACGACTCTTATTGGGTTTTTCACATTTAAAAAGTTGCGAATTTTTTTATTTTCAAATTTCGAATTTGTTCATTGGAATAATGTTAAAAAAGAGAAAATTTAATATTTTACTGCATGGCGAAATTGTTGTTGGGAAAATTGCTGTGTTTACTGCATGTGGAAATTGTTGTTGAGGAAGTTGCTGTTTTTACTGCATTGGGAAATTGTTGTTGGCGAAATTGTCAATAATGTCAAAAATGTCAAAAATGTCAATAATGTCCATAATGTCAAAATTGTCAAAATTGTCAAAATTGTCAAAATTGTCAAAATTGTCAAAATTGTCAAAATTGTCAAAAATTTCAATATTGTCAAAATTGTCAATATTGTCAAAATTGTCAATATTGTCAAAATTGTCAAAATTGTCAATATTGTCAATATTGTCAAAATTCTATAAAAATGATGATAATATTACGGCAAAATGAAAAGGAACCTGTTATGTTCTTCTAGATCTAACATGTCAGAGATTCTTTTCCCACAGCCAGTACAACAACCTTCCTTCTAAATAGTGACCGGCATCATTTTCAGGTAGTTGTAAAACTTCCAAGGTTTTTAGATTTTTAAGAGGCTTCTCTAGAATCAAAGATGATTATCAAATTCAGGGGCGTATTCATGGGCGTTTTCGGGGGGG